TACCATTACTCCTCGTGGAACGAGGTGTACTGGTAGTTCGAATTAGAGATCCTAATTCGAACTACCTACTCCGTGCTGCATGTAGCTGCGGGCACGGTGTCTGGACTAAGGGGGATTTAAAAATGGCGGCGCCCGGGAAGATGCAAATGAAGCCCGGGATATTTAAATCCCGGGCTTCATTTGCAACTCCGGTTGACCTCATTTGCCTACCTAGCTTGAACTACCGAGCTAGTGTAGACATACCCTCCCTTATTCCCACAATTTGCTATGTTACTGATCTTTACTGTGACAACCATGTTGAATGAGGGTTGGCAACACCCCCTCAGATATACAAGTGCACTTTGCTATTTATTTTATAAAATAAACCGTAGCAGAGGCTTTTTCCATGGTTTAATGTTTAAAAAATACAGGATATTTTATGCTTGGACTATCCTGCATATACTTTGCTATTCAAAATCCTGAAACTCACTGTGAAATTGTATCCTTGTCACTATGCTAAACCTCAGCAAATGTTTGACATGTTAATATCAACAAATGAATCCTAGCAGTTCAGTTTCACATCTTTTCAAGTCTGAAGGACTGTCAGACTTGGTGTGAATGGTATAACTGCTAGAAACCCTTAATCTTCACTTCTTGAGTTTCCACGTTTGGAAGCAGGTGTTTGTTGTAAAAAAAAAAATGCAAATTTATTCATTGAGATAAAATGCAGCAACAATCTAAAGACTTTTATGGTTGGAAAAAATGGGCTCATCTTGTCATGGTAAACAGATGGATTTTGTCATTTTCATGGGCACTGCAAGTTATTTTTTGTATTACAATAGCCCTAAAGGATCCAACCACTGTATTATATACAGTACCTACACATAGTGAGAGACAGGACCTGTCTTGAATGGCTTTTAATCAAAATAGATGAGACAGACTAAAGGTGAGAAGAGAATGAGGGGTTCAAAGAGGGGAAGTGACTTGTCCAAGGTCACATGGATACTCAGTGGCAGAGCTAGGATGAGAAGCCAGATCTCCTGGATCCCAGTCCAGTTATCATGTATGTGGCCAAGTTTCCTGCAGTCCCATAAAGGTAGTTGACAACCCCCAGTCCTGTCTCTCAGTGTTCTGTGCTATTATTAAGCTCTAATTTACCCCCAAATGTCTTCTAAGAGCCCAGCAAGCAGTGGAAGGGATGGTAATGTTGCAAAGTGTAAGCATGTAATTTATGCTTTATCTACTTATTTCCTGGTACCAACAAAGTAAAATGGTGTAACAACACTAATACTTTGTTATGAAGAGAGCTGATAAGCCTGGGCTAGGCAGAGGCTTACGTAGGATGTATCAATATAGCCATGCATTATTAAGCAGCACTGTAACCGTTGTTCCATTTATTCACCTTGCCAAAATACAAATAAAAAGAGACCCACTCGTTACAATATCGAACTTCTGTGGTCCAGCAAATTTTCTGGTTTGGCTCCCATCAGATCCCAAGGGTGCCAGTCTAGAGAGGTTCAACCTGCACAAACTCCTGAACCAGACCCTCTATTGAATGAGCTTATACTCAGCTCAGTGGAAGAGAGAGAAGAGGCCACTTTTCAACTTCCCCAACTCATAGGGAGCTGGAGCCTAAAAGAGCCTTGACATACATTTGAGCAGCCTTAAGGGCGCTCTAAGTTACGCTGCTGATAAAGGTTTTGCCACCAGGAAGGGGATAGCGGATGACAAAAATCCAACATAGCTGTTCTAATACCAAGAGGATTCACTCAGGCATCACCATTAACCCTGGGTTGAGGGTCATTTATGCCACTGTAGCTCTGTAATCGGACTCTAAGGATACGTCTACACTGCACACTTAGGCTATGTCTAGACTACGCTCAAGTTCTGAAAGAGGATATGCAAATCTTCGTCCGAAAGTGAAAGTAGTTGGGACGCGGGTTTTTTGGCAACCTCCCCCCTTTTTGAAAAAGCCGCTCT